GTACCACCGTAGGGTAAGTTGGGATTTACAATTTTTGGGGTCGACCTATTCTAACCCCCTCTCTCCGTAGTAAATAGAGAGCATAGCTGGTATGGTCATCTGAGGGAAACACCTTACTGCTGTTACATCCCTGTTCCCCAACAGTACAACTTCGCCCTCAGACCCCCAGAATAGTGTAAGAAAAACATTCTTACACAATGTCGGTAACTGCTTTTAGTCTAATCGCTATCCTAACAACCTTCCTGGCATGGTATAAACTGCAGGAACATTGGGTCCAGCCAGTGTAGCTTGTTCGGTCATCGCGATGTGCAAGCCCGACCACCACGTCAAGGTAACAGCTATCGGTCGGGACATCGGCGAAAACTAACAAATTGGTAGAAGAGTCAGTTGACGAAGACAGGACACTTCAAGTGAACATAGAGAAGACAGAGTCGATGAAGGTACCTGATTAACTAACAACAACGATAACAAGTATCAATCATTATCAACGCGGGGGAAATTGAAGAGGGTCGCCACTTCTCCTTATCTAGACAGCGTCGTTTCAATTACAGTTAGGCGGCACAGATGAAGATGGTAAAGACAGATTAGATCTAAAACCTTCATCAGTCTGGAAATTTACCACATTTACCTTAACACTAACAAGATTCGGATTTTCGACAACAATAATGGCAAATCATTTAATGCTTCTACATATAGTTCAGAAACTTGATGCGTGCGCCACCAAAACCCGAATGTGAAACGATAAGTGGAGCATACGTATTCGAGGCTGACATGGAGGCGATCGTATGAAGACGGGGAGGGGGGAAGGAGGATAAGGGAGCTGACGAAGAGTCATGCAGCCAGCCACCTAAACAAGATGAAATGAAGATGTACACAACACAAAAGGTAGTTCATCGTCAAGCGTATTAAAGAGACTTCGGCAAGCAGACGGTTAACAACTCACTCAACAACTAATCAGTATACTTAATTCCATCTAGCAGAATAATGTGGCAAGCTCGTAGACCATTCAGCCAGTCGAACCCAACTCAGCAACCTATGAATTCCGGCTTCTACCGATTCGTGATTTTAGCGCGACTGGCACCGTGGCGAGCATTTGGCCTCACTCCTAACTAGATGAATCCCACTGGTTTCGACTTCTCGCTAAAACTCAATCCAAGCAACTGTGTCCTGCAGCCAGTCATTAGCGAGCATCAGTTTGATTTTCAAGAATTAGTCTGGAGGGATTTGACGTGTTTCGAGTTTGACCACTCATTGACATCAGTTAGAGAACCATTGAAAACCAATTAAGGAGTAGTGTGCAGCAGTTTCTTCCTAGTTTGGGACTCATCAGCAGATATGCAACCACCAGTGGGGCCCACCCGATTGAGAGTGAGGACAAATACTCGCCGCGGACAATATTGGCTGGTGGTCGAGCTAAAACAATGAATTCGTAGAAGTCAGAATTCACAGGCTGGTCATTCAGTCAGGACCACAGTGACTAAATGGTCTACGAGCTTTCCTTGAAACCCAATAGGTCCGCATTGTGAAGACTTCCAAACTAGGACGAAACAACAACTCCTTACTGGTTTTCAGTGCTTCTCTAACTGATATCCATCCTTCGTGAAACTTGAAACACGTGAATTCCCCACAAACTAACTAACCCTAGAAAGTTAATGTGTCATAATCAAAGCGACGATCGAGAAAGCATGACAAGCTTTCATTTCTCTCAAGTCCGGGTGAAGACCAACACTCAACACTCTTCAGCATGAAAAATAAGATCCGCCTCTTTAACTCCAATATAAAGTCAGTCAGTGCTACTCTACGGATCAGAGACGTGGCGCCGCGCCACGTCACGAAGGTCACTTCGAACAAACTACACCCCTTCACCAACAGCTAACTGTCTTCGCTCAATACTACTCAAGATCAGATGACCGTTCAGAAAAGATCGGCATCAGGGAGGGATCTCTGGCAATGAACCAACGAACTCACTCAGCAGGAACCAATTGTGTAACAAATATGCAGGCAGAAATGGAGGTGGATTGTCTGGCCATACTCTGAGAAAACAAACCATCAAGTGAGTGAGTGACATCCATCACACACCAGGCCATCGCTCTCGAGTGGAACCCGAATGGGAAGCGGCGAATCGGTCGTCAGTGAGAGAGTGACATGGAGAAGGAGGTGAAATCAAGTGAGCAGACGTGGAAACAGGTGAGAAAACGCTGGCAGCTAACTGAACGCAATGGAGACGTACACAGCTGAAGAAGCCCTATGTTTCCCCACTTTTATATATGATTATGTATATGAGAACTGTTCACACAATTAAATTTTATTTCAAAAAAAATAATAAAATAATAAAAGCTAAGTAATGAATAATGCAGTTTCAAGAAGAAGAAGAAGAAAGAAAGAAAGAAAAAAGTAGAAGAAATTTTGAACAATCAAAGAATCAATACCAAGTAAAACTACACAGATAGAAGGCATAAAAAGTAGCAAAAAGGAGAGGTTAGTAGACTTTATCTTTATTATTATTATTAGTATTACTACTATCGTTATAGTTTGAAGGAAAAGAGGGGGGAGGGGGAGAGAGAAAGAGAGAGTAATGTATTACAGAGATTACATCACACCTTCTTTTATCCTTTTAAGATAATAATAATAATAATAATAATAACAGCAAGATTTCTAGTCCCACTGTTATTCTTTCATCATTTACAAAACAAAGAACAGAATTCGTCGCGATCTCATCGTTGCCTCATCACCATCAACACCGGCCAGACGAGAGTGCGTATGTGAGTGTATTAATCCACACTCACGCAGGCACACGCCCACGCAAACACACACAGTTAAATAAAAGTAAGAGCATTTAAGCAAACAGCTCCTTTTTCCCTTCTACAACAAAACCACCAACAAAGACAGATGGCAGTGAGTAACAGCAGTAATAGGAGTAGGAGTAGTCAGAGGACGAGTAAGAATGGAGGCATCAATCGTCCACTGTCCACCAATATTGGGAGTCATTTGATGAGTAGAATAAGGCCTAAATACACAGGCGAAAACTAAAAAATTGGTACAAGAGTTAAGCACCGAAGAAAGGTCTCCAAGGGAACATAGAGAAGACAGAGGTGATGAAGATATCTGAATAACAACAATTACAAGCATCAATCAATATCGACGGGACGAAATTGAAGCGGGTTGCCACTTCTACTTATCTAGACAGCGTTGTTTCAATTACAGGTAGGCGGCACAGATGAAGATGGCAAAGATAGCCTAGATCTAAAACCTTCATCAGTCTGGAAATTTACCACATTTAGCTTAACACTAACAAGATTCGGATTTTAGACAACAATAATGGCAAGTCATTTAATACTTCTACAAATAGTTCAGAAACTTGATGCGTGCACCACCGAAACCCGAATGGGAAACGATAAGTGGAGCATGCGTATTCGAGGCTGACATGGAGGCGATCGTATGAAGACGGGGAGGGGGGAAGGAGGATAAGGGAGCTGACGAAGAGTCATGCAGCCAGCCACCTAAACAAGATGAAATGAAGATGTACACAACACAAAAGGTAGTTCATCGTCAAGCGTATTAAAGAGACTTCGGCAAGCAGACGGTTAACAACTCACTCATCAACCAATGAGTATGCTTAATTCCATCTAGCAGAATAATGTGGCAAGCTCGTAGACCATTCAGCCAGTCGAACCCAACTCAGCGATCTATGAATTCCGGCTTCTACCGATTCGTGATTATAGCGCGACTGGCAACAGACAGTTGTCATCCGTGGTGAGTATTTAGCCACACTCCTCACCAGATGAATCCCATTGGTTACGACTTCTCACCAGAACTCAATCGAAGCAACTTCGTCTTGCAGCTAGTCAATAGCAAGAATCAAATTGATTTTCAAGAGTTACTTTGCACGGATTCGATTTGTTTCAAGTCTGAACACTCATTGATATCAGTTAGAGGACCATTGGAAACCAGTGAGGGAGTACTGGATAGGAATTTCTTCCTATTTTGGAACTCATCGGCTTTACACACCCAGCAATGAGATCCATCCGATTGAGAGTGAGGACAAATACTCATCACCGACAATATTGGCTGGTGGTCATGCTGGTCACTGAAACCCAGTGGGTCCATACTGTTGAAGAGCCCCAAAACAGGACGAAACAACTGTCCAGTACTCACTCCCTTATTGGTTTTCAATGACTCTTTAACTGATATCAATCCGCCGTGAGACTTGAAACACATCAAATCCCTACAAACTGACTAACTAACTAACCTTAGAAAGTTAATGTGTCATAATCAAAGCGAGGATCGAGAAAGCAAGGCAAGCTTTCATTTCTCTCAAGTCCGGGTGGAGATCAACACTCAACATGGAAAATAAGATCCGGATTTTCAACTTCAATGTTAAATCAGTTAGTGCTATTTACTATACGGGTCAGAGACGGGGTGCCGCGTCACAAAGGCCACTTCGAGCTACACTTCAAAAACTACACACATTCTTCAACAGCTAGCTGTCTTCGCTCAATACTACTCAACATCAGATGGTCAGCCAGAGGAGATCAGCAACAGTGAAGGATTTCTGGTAATGAACCAACGAACCAACCCAGCAGGAACCAATTGTGCAACAAATACCGAGGAAGAAATGAAGGTAGGTGGATTGGCTGGCTATACTCTGAGAAAACAAAACAATCAAGTGAGTGAGTGAGTGGTATCACACACCAGGCCATCGCTCTTGAGTGGAACCCGAATAGGAAGCGGCGAATCGATCGTCAGTGAGAGGGTGACATGGAGAAGGAGATGAAATCATGTGAGCAGACGTGGAGCAGACAGGTGAGAAAACACTGGCGGAGAACTGAACGCAATGGAGACGTACACAGCTGAAGAAGCCCTATGTTTCCCCACTTTTATATATGATTATTTATATGAAAACTGTTCACACAATTAAATTTTATTTCAAAAAAATAATAAAATGATAAAAGCTAAGTAATGAATAATGCAGAAGAAGAAAGAAAGAAAAAAGTAGAAGAAATTTTGAACAATCAAAGAATCAATACCAAGTAAAACTACACAGATAGAAGGCATAAAAAGTAGCAAAAAGGAGAGGTTAGTAGACTTTATCTTTATTATTAGTATTATTACTAGTACTATCGTTATAGTTTGAAGGAAAAGAGGGGGGAGGGGGATAAAGAGAGAGTAATGTATTACAGAGATTACATCACACCTTCTTTTATCCTTTTAAGATAATAATAATAACAACAGGATTTCTAGTCCCACTGTTATTCTTTCATCATTTACAAAACAAGAACAGAATTCGTCGCGATCTCATCGTTGCCTCATCATCAACATCAAGAAGGCGGGAGTGTGTGTGTATTAATCGCCACTCACGCTCACGCAAACACACAGTTATATAAAAGTAAGAGCATTCAAGCAAACAGCTCCTCTTTCCCTTCTACGACAACACCAACAACAAAGACAGACGGCAGTGAGGAACAGCAGTAAAAGGAGTAGTAGGAGGAGTCGCGGTCGTAGATCGAATAGACCTGTAGACCTCTAAACGTTTATGCTTTACAAAGACATTCACTCACACGTCCACACACATATACGAAATACACTGAGTTCCAAATAAAAAGAGTTGCATATATGTATATGTTGTAATATATAAAACATGACATACGGTGTTTTCTTTCGCTTCAAAAGTGAGTTCATCAAATGGAATGAAAAGGGAGGAGACGGGGTCAGGAAAACACACAAGAGAAGAGAAGATGAGAAGAGCAAGATAGCTAAGTATGTAGAGGAGAGATCAGAGGGAGAGGGTGTGTGTTTGTGCTCGTGCATATTTATAAAACTGAAACACAGCGACAGTGTTGATGATGGTGTTGTCGACGGGAGAGGAGAGCAAGGGAGAGGGGGTGTATATCGATCAGTGTGAACTAATTGTCTGTTCCACTGATTCCATCATATTCACATTAGCTGATTCTGAATCTGAGGTGAGATTATCATTATTATTATTATTATTATTCAATGAGGATAAATCATTATGATTCGGACTATTTGTATCACCATTGACATTGTTCAAATGATTAGAAGGGTTGAGGCTAGAAAGGCATGAAATAAAAAAACAAAGAAACAATTATAGTACTTAAATTTTAAAATAGTAGTATATTCAAAACTTGTAAAAAAACATTTCATTTCGATGATTATATATTCAGACGCTCACCGAGTATGTGGACGATATTGTCCTTCCTTGACGAAGATGCTGATACAATGCAGAATCGTACGAACCTACAAATGTTTAGCATGTAATCCGCTCCTGCTTCAGGACTGGGGATGCATCGACTACCTAGCCCTGACAAAATCTCAACACGGATACAAAAGGATTATGCGGCATTTGACAACCGACTGGCTATCGAACAAAGGATGTGCGTATTGAGTAGCGATTCGCTGAGTCGTTCTACGTGATTATCAGGCATGGCCATTAAAAGAGGAAGATATAAAGATGTTAGGTGCCTTCAACCGGAAATGTTCGCGTTCTTTCGCCCGTGTTAAGTCGTGAGTGTCAATCGATAAGGCTGTGAAGCTACATCGACTGAAACAGCTAAGACACGACGGATTACGCTTGACGAGTGCCATCAACTTCCTCAACGAGAAATGTCAACCGATATAGGATTCGCCAGAAAAACAACTAGCGAGTTGGACAAACTAAAAACCTGGAATCGATCCATGAAGTTGCTCAAGTATTGGTTTGTAGGGATTTTCATTGATTAGTTATAAAGAACCATTGAAAAACCAGTCAAGAGTACTGGACAGACGTTTCGTCCCAATTTGGGACTCTTCAGCAACGCGCAGTCACTACAGGTGTTGTAACCTAGGATCTTCTGGTTACAAGGCGAGCTCATAGACCATTCAACCGCTGGGACCCTACTCAACTATATTGTTCTTCAATATTACTATTCTTTTTGCCTTATATCTCTATTTACTGTCACCATTTTGTATTTCTTTTTACTTTCTTCCCTTGTTTTGTGCGCTACATGGAGTGTGGCAACTCGAACTCTGCTGCGCATCTGCGCAAAGTTCTATGTTGAAACCAGTCAGTCGGTGAGTCAGACGCAAGCCTCTGACATGACATTCGTAGCACATGTCCATGCCATCACCGAAGCCAGCATTTCTCCAGGTGACAAAACTCAATGAATAGCGACCTCCACACTATGTTGAAACATACACTACTGGACATCAGAGTTATATCACACACGATGATGCCGTCGAACGTAAGCAATTCTACGGAGACAGGCGGTCAACCCCTGGTCAACGCACTCCTAAACATCACTTAGCCCAGTAGTAAAGATGGAAGGTAGGAAGGATATATTCACGCAACTCAATAGCTTGCTTAATCCCTGAGACAAGTCAAATTGCTATAGAAACCAAGAGTGCTGATATTCACAGCCTACTACTTTTCTGAAACCAGCCACCCAACATAAAAGTGAAAAATGACTCTAAAAGTTCCTGATACCTTGCCGAAAAAAGGTGACTACAGATACCGGAACTACCGATGGGGGAAAGCAGAGTAACACTGAGTCAGAATCTGTGAAAATAATGTACAGTCCTGGTAATTTGGATAGTTTCCACTAGAGAGTTTCCTCCAAACGTAGATTAGATGCCGTCGTCTCCCATACTAGATACAGTGGAAAGTTTGAAGGAACAGGCTAACGTCTGTAGTGTTAAGGTGCCAAAGAAAGCCATTCCATACAAGGAGGGAACCTCGGAAACCACCTTACGCAGAATTCTTAACAAGACAGGCAGTAATAAAAGTGCTTTGTCGGTTAAAGGATCAATCCTGTGAAGCCTTTAAAACAAAACAATTTAGTTTATCTAATACCACACCTGCAATGATTGTCAGGTCAAACACATAGGTTAAATTAGTAGAACAGGGTCAGTCAGTCAGACTAACCGAGCATAAAAAACTAGCAAAATCTAGATTGGTTGACCCGAATAAAATAAGAAATCTAGAGAATAGTTCAGCTATACCACTCACTAGATGCAATTACACACAACCATACAATACGATGGATGGGATAAGATGACAGTTTTAAAATCTAATGTAACAGCAGGGTGGAGGGAGAGATTGATAACAGAAGCTTTGTTTATCGAATCAACTGCAAATCAACACGTGTAATAGGAATGATTCAACACCTGTCCACGCAGACATCTGGAAAATTCTACTACCCCAACGACGACAAATAGGAGAGAACAAAGGAAACTATAAAACTCAAGTTTCGAAGTCGTGTGATTATAATTGATGATATGATTATGAACAGTAATAAATTGTGTTCGAAACCTTGTCATCCAGTAAATACTAATACTGTTTCACTCACTGTGTGTGATATATCTAATAAACAAACTAATATGGAATTACTTACTACCACAGTGCCCAAGTTTTACACATATGTATTCATATGAAAGCCATTCGAATTCATATAACTATGGAGAAAACTTGTATAATAATTAAGCAATACAAATGATTAGAAAAATTCGCCTTCCTTCAGGAAGGCTTAAAAAAAAGAAAAGATCAACTGAACTTACACAGTATTTGTTGTCTGTTCTTCTCCTTCTGCTTCTCCATCATCTTCATCCATCATCATTGGATGATCCGTGTTATTCACATCTTCCACTTGTGTGACAGCAATCCATTTACGTGTTGTACCAGTTTTATCACCTCCATTCACCATCATCGTCATGGATGAGGCGGAGTCGGTGTGATTAGTTTCGCTTGCAGCTGGTCCAGTTTTACCAGTAGTACCACCACCATCAGTGGCGGCGGTGGCCGTCGACATTTCACTGTCACCAATTAAATCCATATTACTTGCTAAGAAAGCGTCGGCTTCACGTTCTTCACGGATACGAATCAATCGGCCGTATTCACGTTGAAGATCAGCATGTCGTTTCTGTTGGCGTTCAACATCAGCCTCTAACACCTAGATTAAAATGAATAATAATAGTAATAATGATGGATAAGTGGAAGAAAGCCCAATTGCGAATCTATACACAGTTAACAATGAACTACAACTATTGACTGACTACCGAAACCTCGACAGGTAGAGAGTAGAGTTCGAATCCTTGACTCTGTCTGTTTTACTAGTTGGAAGTCCAGCAACTACACCAATAAGCCAGAGCCTCGTTGCCTTCATGTCTGAGTCTTACAACAACCGGACTGATGGAAAAATGGCCTAAATTGAATCCAACATCCAAAAGGATTGAACGGCATCACCGGAAACCATAGAAACATAGCTCATGAAGCTTCTCCACTACCTTGGGTCAAGATTAGGCTTCAAGTTAAAGGGCTGAGGGGTGTAGTAAAGCTTGAACGCATAAGACAACTTCCCGTCTCGATCATAAGGTCCATGTAGTATTCCCCCCACCCTTCGGAGTTTGTGTTTTAATAAAAAAATAAAAATATAATGAAAAAACGAACAAACAAACAGCATAAGCCTTACATCAGAACGTCTTGCGATAGCGCATAACTCTTGTTCATGAAGTCGTTCATAAGTGGTCAGCTCCATGTAACCTTGTTCAATTTGATCAACGCTTTCTTCGATAGCTTTCATTAAAGTTTGAGCACGTGACTACAAGCAGAGAAAGAAAGAGAGAGGAAAAAAAGAGGAGAACTACATAGATTTTGATAATCCAAATAAATAAATACAGAACTTTGAAAAATTATCAGTAGTAAATACACTAGCAAAGAATCAAGTACGAATTGGTAGTCAGTGGTTGGAGGTGGTAGACAAGAAAGTTTCTTGTTTGTCAGTGTATCAGCAAGGCGTATCTGCGACCTCGAAGGAACTGATGTCTCTCAGGAGACTTGAACCTGCCTCACAGATTGCGGCAGTCGGAGACGTTATTATTAACCCCCCTTAGGTTCTGAGTGGAACACAGGGCTTCAAAAGAACATCTCCCTTACACTCTGTTCTCTGTAGTCGTCTATAGCTGGCTCCACAACTGCCCCCATAGGCTCTTATCTCCCCACCATGTCGACTTCGTATCGACGCCCAACTCACCGTTTTCTATTCGCTTTGCACGTCACTAAACGGTCCAATCCATCTCCATTCTCTTCGTCATATTAATTGGACGATAGGCTATAGGTTGATTCATTCCCTGAGTTCCTTGTTGCTGCGCGTGCTTTCTGGTTATCAGATATTTAGCACTGAGGGAGTGAAGGCAGCTGTTAATAGAGGTCTGAAATAGCCTGCTCGAAATGCTTCTGGCAATGCATCAAGTCTCTGAACCATATATGGACTAACTAACTTGACATTAGTTTTGAAAATCCGAATCTTGTTGCCTATGCTGACTGCAGTAGATTTTCAGACTGACTTCAGATAAATAAAAGTCTGTGTCACCCTTCCTCTCCCCATCTGGTTATGAAATCTCCATCCATGCCACAGACTGTAGTTGAAATGACTTTGTCTTGATAGGTGAAAGAAGTAAGTTCCTTTAGATTTTCTCCTAACTTTAATGATTGGTGTTTGTTTGTTTTTTCTGTGTTAGGCAACCTTATCACTATCTTAGTCTTCTCTTCATGTTCACTTGAAGTCTTGTCTTCGCCGTCTGTGCCTCTTTCACTAACTGGTTGCTTTCCACGGCTAGATCTTTGAAATTGTGTGACACTAAGCATAAGTTATCCGCAAAGTCGAGTTCTTCCAGAGTCTTGACTTCGGTTCAACGTATTCCTCTCCTCGCCTTCTCAACGATCTGCCGCACAATTCAGTTGACCACAATCACAATTATCATCAATGAAGATGGTACTATTAAATTCCTAAACGTTTTTTTAGCGAAAATGACTGATGGCACAATCAGAACACGTATATTTAGAAAGTCTTCATGGACAGGACAGTACAAACATTTCAAGAGATCTGTTCCAATCCATTATAAAAAGAAATTTGTCAGAACACTGTTCAATAGAACACGAAAAATTTGTTTTGACAGTACAACTGAGCGTGAAATAAAGGCGCTGAAGGATATTTTATCTAAGAATGGATATCCTGAGAAGTTCATTAATAAATACCCTAAAGAAATGAGTCCCTCTAAAACTATCCAAACAGGAATTTGTGTACATCAATTTGCCATTCAAAGGAAATGATGTACAGGAAGTAGTCAAACGAAGACTCGACAAAGCCACCAAGAGAACTTTTTATGCTGCAAAACTTGTTTTCCTTAACACCACTAAGCGAGTGCTTCAACAATCTGGGAAAGACCAGTCGCCAATCCTCGACACTTCAAACTGCGTATATCAATTTGAGTGTGCTTGTGGAAGCAAATACATAGATCAGACGTACAGAAAGGCAATTGTCTACTCGCATGATGGAGCATTTGCCGAAATGGTGGTTGAAAACAGCTGAGTGCAAAGTGCCAAAATCCTCAATAACAAAACATCTTGTGGACTATGGACATGATATCGACGCTGTCAAGTCATTCACTATTGTCAGCAGACAAAGAAACAGGAATATGCTTGCAATTATTGCGGAGGAGGCTTGTGCAATCCGGGTTTATAAACCAAGTCTCTGTGTACAAAAGGAGATGGTCGTCACTCTGAATCTACCATGATAATACGTTTTACTTATTATTATTATTCTTGATTCAGTTAAAACTATCTTCAATCAGTAGCATTATCTTACCTCACTTCAACACGGACATCCAGCACCCCCACATAAATGCTTCACAGTGTTACACAGAGTCCCTCAATATCTCACAAAGGGACTACCCATACGCCATCTATACATAGCTGAAGCATTAGCTATTCGAGATCTGAAACCGGACCTCTGCATTCAAAAGCGATACATACATTCACTCGCCCTACCATAGCCAGAGTAAAGTTCCTCCTCATAATTTTGCTTCTTCTTTTTTTATTATGTAAGTTCACTATTATTATCGTTATTACTCCTATCATTTTATTATCTTTATCATTCCCATCATCCATATTTTATTACCACTCTATTTCTGTTTGTTAATAACGGTGCGTTTTCATACAGATTTTGTATAAAGACACTTTATCGCCTTTCCACTAGTTCCTGTCCATTCTACACGAGCTTATTGATTAGTCACTATCTCACACTTATTACGTCATGCCAACTTCTGTCAATATCCTAACTTACAATTAGTCATCCCGTCTGGGTTACACCTTACATTGTGTAATACATTTTCCAAGGACAAAATTTACCAGTATCTGATTGGTATAAAGATTTCTTTGTTTTATATAATTACGATTGTACAGCTCATGAAAATGAATCGTTGAAAAGAAAATTTTCTTTTGTGCTGTTTACGTCTTTTTCCTTATGGGAATATTTCGTTCATTTCACAGAAATGCTCAGAACAACCCATAGTTAAGGCAGCTAAACCATTTTTACTTATTGAGAAGGAATAAATGATAGCCATTGCTCAAGACGTGACTGTTGCAGGTTATAGGACTAGTGGGTAACGATAAGCTACTTTCGAAACAATAGGTGCTAGGTTCGAGTCTCATTATGAACACTACCACTAGCTAGGAATGTACGCACACCCACATGACGAGTTCCAAGTAGGACAAAGTGAGCACTCTCGATTCCACCGATGGATGCCACTAACTAAGTAGAAATGTGGTAGGAGCTGTCTACTAGCCAAAATTGTAGACAACAATTTACGTCAATGTTCACGTCCCAAATCGGGGTCATGAGAAAAAGCAAGAACAAAGACTAGCTCAACAACCAATCACAGCAGATTTAACGATTCGCAGATATGTGCCTTAACTTTCTGAGAAACGGCAACAAAGAGATGACAGAATAACCTTCAGCAGGAAAACAACCAATCAGAAGACGCTGCTTCTCTGCTGACAATAACGCTAATAATAATGTACATAAAAATCCATAAATATCTTTTGATTTTCTCAATAAAAGATCTGTTGCCCGACCCCTGTCTTCTGTCGTTACAGAATAACTTTTAATAATTTTAGTTGACAGCTTGATACATATGACAACTGCTCAATTATCCATACTTCTCACAATTGAAAATTGAAATTGAATGCATCATGAAAACAAGATATTGAAATATTTTATGAAAGTATTGTCTCTACCTCAACATCAGCTTACCTGATAACCTCCAAGTAGAATTCTCAACTTCTTTTCTATTTTTGCTGCACGTTTCGCTTCTTCAGCCATAAGATGACGTAACTGGTCCAGTCGTTTTTCATGGGG